GCTAGCCTGTCTGGTCCTATCACACAGAAGAGCTACTGTATTTGAAATTGGTGAAATTCTTAATGCTGGCCATGATAGAAAGGTGTCAGAACACACAGTGCATTGCAGTTTGCTGCATATGGGGCTGTGTAGCTGCAGACCTGTCAGAGTATCCTGTCCTCCACCAAATGAGTACATGAGCATCAGACCTGGACCAGGGAGCGATGGGAGAAGGTTGCCAGATCTGATGAATCATGTTTTCGTTTAGATCAGGTGGATGGCTAAGTGTGCATCATTAATTGGACTTTGGTAATTAACCTTGCAAAGTGAAAAAAATAGCCCAACTGGAAAATTCTCAGGATTCACATATTTTGAACAAGAAATTGTAATTCTTCTAGTTTTTTGTAGCAAATAATTCCCTTTGAGTCCTCACAAAGTGTGTTAGAAATTAAATTCCATGATGTTACAATGACCTTAGACACCATAACTGCTTCAGTGGGCCTTTCCCACCGCGGTGTAAGAGTCAAACAGTTTTTTTTTGGTTTTTTATTATTCGTTCTTTTATTGAGGCTTTTGATGGATACAAGACAAAGTAGAATCAGGAGTAATGGCACACGAACATGCATAACCATTGTTTGAAATAGACTCCGATAAAACAGCCTTTTTTGTGATATGATGACCAACCTGCTGGTATAGACATATTTAAACATTTATGTAAAATACAAGACGTTGCATTATTAGGATACGTCTAGCGAGTATCACATATTATTAAAGGAAAAATCTAATAGTAGAGTAAACAGTTGAGTGTCAGAGCGGAAACAGCATAATAGATAATACCTTCAGTAAGGCAAACTGGACACACAACAGGGATTACATGAGAACGAGGCCACCAAGTAGTGGAAATACTGAGCTCAGGTTGTTGACCATGACGTGTAGTAAGTGAGGTGCACAAACATCTGTACTTGGTAGCTAGTTAAAAACAGAAACAATGGCAAGCCTTCAAGGGGTATGGCTTGGTTACTCATCGAAACATAGAATGTGACGGCAGATAAGAACCATTCGGCCCATCTAGTCTGCCCAATTTTCTAAATGCTTTCATTAGTCCCTGGCCTTATCTTATAGTTAGGATAGCCTTATGCCTATCCCACGCATGCTTAAACTCCTTTACTGTGTTAACCTCTACCACTTCAGCTGGAAGGCTATTCCATGCATCCACTACCCTCTCAGTAAAGTAATGCTTCCTGATATTATTTTTAAACCTTTGTCCCTCTAATTTAAGACTATGTCCTCTTGTTGTGGTAGTTTTTCTTCTTTTAAATATAGTCTTCTCCTTTACTGTGTTGATTCTCTTTATATATTTAATGTTTCTATCATATCCCCCCGTCTCGTCTTTCCTCCAAGCTATACATGTTAAGATCCTTTAACCTTTCCTGGTAAGTTTTATCCCGCAATCCATGAACCAGTTTAGTAACCCTTCTCTGAACCCTCTCTAAGGTATCAATATCCTTCTGAAGATACGGTCTCCAGTACTGTGTACAATACTCCAAGTGAGGTCTCACCAGTGTTCTGTACAATGGCATGAGCACTTCCCTCTTTCTACTGCTAATACCTTTCCCTATACAACCAAGCATTCTGCTAGCATTTCCTGCTGCTCTATTACATTGTCTGCCTGCCTTTAAGTCATCAGAAATAATCACCCCTAAATCCCTTTCCTCATATGTTGAGGTTAGGACTCTATCAAATATTCTGTACTCTGCCCTTGGGTTTTTACGTCCAAGATGCATTATCTTGCACTTATCCACATTAAATGTCAGTTGCAACAACTCTGACCATTTTTCTAGTTTACCTAAATCATTTGCCATTTGGCTTATCCCTCCTGGAAATGCTGCTGTCCAGCTTCCGAGTGGTGCATGTGCATGGGTAACAGCCATTGGCCATTTTGGATCGGCTGCAAGTGGGTCTCCTTCACTAGATTTGCCCAGGAGCTGCACAGGGCTTGCTTGGTGGGGGCCAGGATAAAACCAGGCCACAACAGAGTGAAAGCCACAGCCGCCGGTAAACAAGAATGGCGAGGCTTGAATCCACTCCAAAGCCACTACAGCTGTGCCAGACAAGGGTGCCGATTTGAGCGCATCCAGGTACAGGGCTTATATAGCCTTAAAGGCTGTGACTAGCAGGCTCTAATGGACATGCGCATTAGACCTCCCCACAGGAAATCATTATTAGTTATATCTGAAGAGAGGGTGTGGAATGGTAGGCTCAAAAACTAAGCATAACACCAACACCCAGTCTGAGGCTTCCTTCATGAAACCTCAAACTTTTCCAGAAGAAGTGGGGCCTAGTTGGTGCTAAACGTTGGAGTTAAACTGTTTGTAAATTATTTAACTCCTTAGATGGGCCCCACCGGTCACCAAAACATCATCATCTCAATGCGAGGGGGTCCTGTTATATCTTAATAGGTTAAACCATTAACTGTTTGAACCCAATGTTTAGTAGAGCGAGCACGACTACTCAGACTCCTACTTGACTGAAGTAGAGGGGCTATCACTCGCTCCCACTGAGAAAACGAAGTAAAAAAAAGATACAAACGTTTTTTGTTCTGTTTCCTTCATGACAGCTAGTGATGGGCTGGGAGCATTGGCTGACACTCAAAGCAAATCAACCGTGCCCAGTGAAACTTTGCAACAAGAAAGGAAATAGAGGAACCGAGCAATTGGCAGCTGTATGCAAGAGTTTGGTGTGGAACTGTTTAGTAATGGTTTAACCCGGCGGTTCCCAAACTATGTGCGGCGCCAGGGAATGTTTCCATGGCAGGCGCGGACTGGCCATCGGGCACACCGGGCAAATGCCCGGTGGGCCGCGGTGGCCGTGGGCCGAGGCTTTAGGGAGATCACAGGATCTCCCCTGCCGGTCTTTGCAGGGCCGGCGCTGTCTGAACGCCAGCCCTGCAGTAGTCTACAGCGGGCCGGTGGGGAGATCGGAGACACACACACACTGCACCCCTGACACACACACACACACTGCACCCCTGACACACACACACACACACTGCACGCCTGACACTCACACACACACACTGCACCCCTGACACTCACACACACACACACTGCACCCCGACACTCACACACACACACACTGCACCCCTGACACTCACATACACACACTGCACCCCTGACACTCACATACACACTGCACCCCTGACACTCACACACACACTGCACCCCTGACACACACTGCACGCCTGACACTCACACACACACACTGCACCCTGAGCACTCCACACACACACTGCACCTGACCTCACACACACTGCACCCCTGACACTCACACACACTGCACCCCTGACACTCACACACACACTGCACCCCTGACACTCACAGCACACACACACTGCACCCCTGACACTCACAGCACACACACACTGCCCCTGACACTCACACACACACACTGCACCCCTGACACTCACACACACACACACACACTGCACCTGACACTCACACGGACACACTGCCCTGACACACACACACACACACTGCACCCCTGGCCTCATGCACTCACAGCACCCTCACACTGCACCCCTGATGTAGCACCCTCACACACACACTGCCCGTCTGACCCTCACAGCACACACACACTGCACCCCTGACACTCACACACACTACACCCCTGACACTCACACACACTGCACCCCTGACACGCACAGCACCCTCACACACTACACCCCTGACACGCACAGCACCCTCACACACTGCACCCCTGACACGCACAGCACCCTCACACACACACTGCACGTCTGACCCTCACAGCACACACACTGCACGTCTGACCCTCACAGCACCCTCACACACACACTGCACGTCTGACCCTCACAGCACACACACTGCACGTCTGACACTCACAGCACCCTCTCACACACACACACACACACACACTGCACCCCTGACACACACAGCACCCTCACACACACACTGCACATCTGACACAGCACAAACAAAATGCACCCCTAACACTCAGAGCACCCTCACACTCACACACTGCACCCCTGACACACACAGCACATACACTGCACCCCTGACACTCTCAGCACCCTCACACACACTGCACGTCTGACACAGCACAAACAAAATGCACCTCTAACACTCACAGCACCCTCACACACACACACTGCACCCCTGACACACACAGCACCCCTGACACTCACAGCACCCTCAAACACACACTGCACCCCTGACACTCACAGCACGCACACACTGCACCCTTGACACTCACAGCACCCTCACACACACACATTGCACCCCTGACACGCACAGCACACACACTGCACCCCTGACACTCACAGCACCCTCACAAACACACTGCTCCCTTGACACGCACATCACACACCCTCACTTACACACACTGCACCCCTGACACTCACAGCTTCCTCACATGCATACACTGCACCCTCACACACAGCTTCCTCACATACACATACAGGGGCGGACTGAGAGCCTTTGGGGCCCCCGGGCAAAATTAGATCCCAGGCCCTTTGAAGGCCAAATATATGTGCATTTTAATAAATGTTAAATATAATTCATAATACGGCATTCCTTTGGATGTGTGTATTGTGAAGACCTGTGTATCAATGCATGTTTGTATTTGAGTCTGTGTGAATGCACTTGTGCATGTCTGGATGACTACATTTGCTTTTTTGTATATAGTGTCTGTGTGAATGCATATGTGACAGGTGACAGAGTGTGTGAGGGAGAAGGTGACAGGTGGAAGAGTGTGGGAGGTTGTGACAGGTGGCAGAGTGAGGGGGTACCTGGTGGCAGAGTGAGGGAGGGAGGGGTTGAGTGGTCTTGAGTGAGGGGAACTGAGTAATTAAGGGGTGTTCAGTGACAGAGTGAGGGAGTGGGTGACTAGTGACAGAGGAAGGAGAGGAGACTAGTGACAGAGTGAGGGGAATGAATTGACTAGTGGCAAGTGAGGGAGGAAGGGTGACTAGTGACAGAGTGAGGGGATGACTGGTGACAAGTGGGGGGGTGACTGTCACTAGTCACCCCATCCCTCTCTCTGTCACTAGTTACTCCCTCCCTAACTCTGTCATTGTGAAGGAAGGAAGGGGTGACTGGTGACAGAGTGAGGGAAGGGATGACTAGTGGCAGAGTGGGTGACCAGTGACAGAGGGAGGGGGTGACACAGTGAGGGAGGTGGTGACTAGTGACAGAGTGAGGGAGGTGGTGACTGTCACTAGTCATCACCTCCCTCACTCTGTCCCTAGTCACCCCTCCCTCTGTCACTAGTCACCCCCTTCCTCACTCTGTCACTAGTCACCCCTTCCCTCCCTAACGCTGTCAACTAGTCACCACTTCCCTCCCTCACTCTGTCACTAGTCACACCCTCCCTCACTGTCACTAGAGTGAGGGGGTGACTAGTGACAGAGTGAGGGAGGTGGTGACTGTCATTAGTCACCACCTCCCTCTGTCACTACTCCATCCCTCCTTCTGTCACTAATCACCCCCTAACTCACTCTGTCACCAGTCATCCCCTCACTCTGTCACCAGTCATCCCCTCACTCTAGTGACAGAGTGAGGGAGGGTGTGAGTAGTGACAGAGTGAGGGAGAGGGTGACAAGTGACAGAGTGAGGGAGAGGGTGACTAGTGACAGTGAGGGGGGGTGACTAGTGACAGTGAGGGGGGGTGACTAGTGACAGTGAGGGGGTGACTAGTGACAGTGAGGGGGGGTGACTAGTGACAGTGGGGGGTGACTAGTGACAGTGGGGGGGTGACTAGTGACAGAGTGAGGGAAGGGGTGACTAGTGACAGTGGGGGTGACTAGTGACAGTTAGGGGTGACTAGTGACAGTGAGGGGTGACTAGTGACAGAGTGAGGAAGGAGGTGACTAGTGACAGTGAGGGGTGACAGTGAGGGGTGACAAGTGACAGTGAACGAGTGACTAGTGACAGAGTGATGGGTGACAAGTGAAAAGGGGACGGATAGGTGACTAGTGAGAGCAAGGGAGGGGGTGACTAGTGACAGAGTGATGGGTGACAAGTGACAGAGTGAGGGGTGACTAGTGACAGTGAGGGGTGACAAGTGACAGAGTGAGGTGTGACTAGTGACAGTGAGGGGTGAAAAAGTGACAGAGTGAGGGGTGACAAGTGACAGAGTGAGGGGTGACAAGTGACAGAGGG